CCTGACAAGAACAAGGTTCGGGCATATACTGCCAGAACCAACACACGAAGGATAAGCGAACGTTCTTTCCAAGTCCCGAGGCTCCCACATTGGGACGGGCATCAGGTTTGGGATTCGTGGATTCCGGTGAAGGATTTTGTTGGCCTAGAGCCATCAAAAGGTGCACTTCCATGCCGGCTGTGCTTTCAAAAAGGTGAAACTTAGGGGTTCCATGCGAGTCTAGACTGAGAGTACAGTCTATGGATTTGGGGCCAAGGGCAGTGGGTGGGAGGGCGCGAGGCTTCGAATCCGTGAGCAAGGTTTCAGATCTATCCTCACGACCCTAAACCTTAAACAGCCCGGAGCCCCACAGCCCTATACAAATCGTGAGCTTTGGTTTTGCATGTGACTATAGCTGCTTCAGAAGCCGTTGCAGCAACCCGTATAGTTAACCGCAGATAGTAACCTTTAGAGGAACCCTCGTCAAAGTAGTAACTTCACAAGCTGAGAAGGAACTTGGCCCTTTGTGACTCCTTATGGTACCGTCGGTGTTTCCTTCCCGCCAACATTGCTCAACATATATGATAGTATATCATTACATATGTAAGTGTATCTTACAGTAGATGAACTTTGCCTGACAGAAGAAGCCAGCAGTTTCAGCTGTAGCTTCCAGTGCAGGGCTGATTCGGACCATGTCTAGGCGGGCTTCCGCAGGCTACAAGCACCCCATTGATTGGGCAGTATGGTTCTTGGGTTCAGTGCATGGTGTTCGTAGATGAGCGGCTCACGACGAGGTACACCGAGCAGATTACGAAGTACTGCAAGGCAGGGGTCTGGTAGGTGAGGACAGGTGCCTGCAAGGGGGCCGAAAGAATAAAGAACCTGTCACGCCATTGGCCTTCACTCCGGCCCGCAGTAATTCCATGGCGCGAGACCGTCCACTCGTTTCATGCGTGACGAAGAGGCTTAAGAACACCGGAATTCAGACCAGAATCATGCATGCATGAGTTTGCGTATATCTGTACGTGGCGATCTCTAGGGCATTTTTGCCGTCTCTAACCAGCAAGCCCATATGAAGAGAAAGTAGGCACTTAACATTGATAGGAGATCAGCAGTTCTTACATAAGTATGGTCACCACCATCATTCTTCTTCTTACTATTATCGTCATCATCACCACCATCGTCATCATCATCATCATCATCATCATCATCACCACCAACATCAATATCATCGTGTTAATACTGTTGTCACTGTTCCTATTACACCACGGTACTTTCTACTTTATCATTGTATTGTTAGTGTTTTAGTAGTAGTAGTAGCAGTAGTAGTAGTAGTAGTAGTAGTAGTAGTAGTAACAATAATGATAGCTTTGGAGGTGGGAGTAGGAGCAGCAGCAAGAGCACGAGTAGGAGTAGGAGGAGACGGCGGAGCAGGAGGAGGAGGAGGAAGAGGAGAGCAGAGGAGGAGTGGAGGAGTGTAGGAGTGGCGGAGCGTGAGTGGGAGCACGAAAAGGAGGAGGAGAAGCAGGAGGACGAGGAGGAGGAGGGGGAGAGTGGTAGTGGTGGTAGCAGCTGTATTCGGAGTCGTAGCAGCGCCGCCGCAGCAGCCGCCGTCATTGTCTGAACGTCAGGTGACGGGCATTGACTCACCAGAGCAGCTCTCGCTCCTCGGATTTTAGGGTTGAGGGATTGAGGGCGCAAGGGCTCTATTTGGGAGTTTCCGAAAATTAGGGGTACCTTATTTTGGGGTTCTTATATTAAGGATCCTGTTATTTAGGGTACTATATTAGGGTCCCCTATTTTCAGAAACCCCCATTTGGGTTCCGCACTTCATTGAAGTGGGAACTGGGCAGGGCATCCAGAGAAGATGCCTTTTTCGGTTGCAGCTGTCCGCTTCCTTTTCTTCGCTTCCATCTTTGGGCCTTCGGCTGCCGTGCATTCTGAAATCAGACAGCAGCGCTGGCAGTACAAAGCCAAGGCTAATCATGCCTAAAACTTCCGGTCGGAAAAGGACAGCAGCCAGTTTTGGACATTGGAATGATTAATTGGTGGACTGTGCACATGGTCATGGCAGATATGTGGTATGTTGCGTGCCAAGCTGGGGAACTATAGCTGGTGACTGCAATGCGAACAGGATGCAAAATTGACATGTTGCAGTTTAAAAAAAACTTGGGTTGGGGCGTTGCTGGTATTCGGGGTTTCGTAGTGCACTTCGGGCCACAAATCGGTCCCTCTAAATCGTTTCTTGCGGGATTACCCACCTCGGCAACGAAACGTATCGTGTTTTTATCATGCTTGCCGACTCTCCAACAACCCAGTTTTTGGTTCGTCGCTTGTTTCGACAGTTTGGCTCCTAATTGTCTTATCCTTGCATCCGGAAACGCCTAAGATCCGAAAGCCCGAAGCCTCCAGCAACGAAATCGTTTTGAATGCACGAGGCAGAAAGCCAAAGATGTGGCCGCCGCAGCCGAACCAAATAACGTGACCGCGGCGGCGCAGCTGGCGGGCATCCTCGGTGCCTGGGAAGATAAAGACAAGAGATTCAATGGCTTCGATGAGTTTTCACATGTAGTACATATTCCTCTATGTCTACAGTAGTGTACAAACGTACCGAAGCTACAGAAGCATTTGCCCAACCCGCAAAACCTGGGTCTCGCGGCTGTGACGGGGAAACGGACCTCCACCGCAATAAGGGCTCGAGCGGGGGTTTCATCTAATCAGGACTTGATGAAGGGCTCTTTTCTGAGTTTAGGGCGGAGGAAGGAACACTAAACCCTACACCCTAAACCCTATACCCTAAACCCTAAACCCAAAACCCTAAACCCTAAATCCTAAGTCCTAAACCCTGGAAGGTTTCCTAAAAAGGGCTCAGGGCTTAGATCATTTGGGGAGGTCATTTGGGGTTAGGGTTGGGCGTGAAAAATTACCATGGCAGCCGAGCGTGACAGACTGAATCGAATTTGGGGAATGTCAGGCCTTGACATAAAGTGGGTGATATAGTCCGCAGATATGTAGAACATGCGAGCTTTCCTAAGTACAAAATATCTTTCTCGGGGATCCCGTTGCCAATGTTTTGAGAAGTGCGTTAGGTTGTGTTATGACGAAATGAAGTTGCTGGGTCGGTAGGGAACTGTCGTTTTACAACAGAACTGCGGCTAAGTTGTCCCAGAGGCAACGCCACACGCGGGGCTTTGCACTCTCATCGCTTGGTCACTGGGCTGCACAAAGCCGGATCCTCCCAAGCAGTTGCCAGAATAATAAAGGGACCTTAGTAATTAGAATAGGGTTTTGGGTCCCATTATACTCTAATTATAGTAAGGAACCCCCAAAATAGTATGGGTAATTTGTTAGGCCCCTACATTAAGTGCAGCTCAAAACTCCACGAGTCTGAAATAAGAGCTACGGGTGCGAACTTTCCGGGCATGTGCGGCCTGCATTGCCACACAGCTTACATTCATGTGCCTAGAGCGGCAGGATGCGAAGTTGAAGATGACCGGCGTACTGACAGCCATGAGCAAGAACCAGCCATAGCCTCTTTTTAAGCCCAGGCCCCTGACGTGGCAGCAGGGTAGGTGAAGGCTTGCTTCGGCGTACCCTTCAGCGCTGCGCTGGTGAAAAAGCTCATTCTGTGCAGGTGAGATCCTGCCACCGAGTAAGCATCTCATGACCTTGCAAGCCCGAACGCCCAAATACCAGCCGACTCAGTTCTAAGGGTATTTGGGGCACCCCCTAATTCAGAAGGGCAGGGATGATTTCGGAAGGATTCGCCCCAAGGTGTTCTTAGCATGAGGGGGGTGTTCAATGAAAGGAGGAAGCGAGTATTGCTTGCAGTCTTGTGCTTATCGATGGAGCTTCAACCGCAGCATTTCTCTACCAATGGCAATCCCTTACTAATGTGGGAACCTGATTAAGAAACCCTGACCCCCATAACCCCAATGGTTTAGGCCTAATAAAGGCCTAGGGTTTCTTAATCAGGTTCCTATATTATTGCTCGGCAGCATCATCGCTGACATCGCGACCTGCTCGCCAGGCCACATCTGCCACCGATGCTGGCCTGAGGCTCTTCGAGATGATTCAGCTGGCCAAGGATTGGGTGTTGCACTTCACTTCTGGGGGGGGTGCGGGAGGGGGGGGGGGCAAATTTTCACGTGACTGGCTTCGATTCTTTGGTGCTGTTAGGGCAAAAAAAGGGTGCTGTAAAGAGCATAAGCCTCAAATAAGTCTAAGATAAACATTTAGCCCAACTTACTTGGAGTTGTCGGCTTAGGTTCGGGGCTGCAGGATTCAGCTTAGATGTCTGTTTCGGATGTGCGGAGCGGTGTGTCGGAGGTAGGCTGTAGGCTCAGATAAGCTGCTGCTCTGTCGTCGCCGTCGTCATGATAGGGTTTAGGGTTTAGGATTTAGGGTACTTATGAATTAACATCATTGTTGTTTTCATCGCCCTCATCACGCCCAGCGCCTGGTTCATGATCTCGATCTGTATGGGATGAACGAGTCTTCAGGCCTCGGCAGTGGGGCATGCGGCCTTGACTCTGGGGTTGAAGGTAAAACCGTAGACCTGTGCTGTGGGTCGTCTTCCTGCAAATAGGGCTACCAAGCGGAAGGGACTGTGAGTGCGGGGTTTGGCATGACGGACGGCATGACGGATTTAATTCCACAAATCGGTGCCCCGACGGTTTCATAGGCTGACCAGCGGTGACAACGCAGAAACTCGAAAGTCATCGTGAAAACGCCTCAACTTTCAGCCCCTTCCGTTGTGTCCAAAAAGAAGATCGGCAGCCTAACCCAAAAAGCCTTAAGTAATAAGCCGTATACTAGTACTCCCGAGTTGCGGGTGGTTGGTGGAATCCGGACTCTTTAGACTTCGGAAGCCCAGGAGCTTCTCATCGCCCCCTTGACCCGCCCTCCCCTCTCCAGCCACTGCCTTTTGTTCACCCGACGCCCGTCTTGAAGGCCAAGTCTTAAGCACAGAGCTTTTGAGTACTGCGGGGCGCATGGCCGGGAGAGGGAGAGGACGAGGAATGGCACGCGATGCCCCTCCGAATCGTGGGCCGGATGACGCTGTGCTTCGAGCATTGTTGCAGCTTCAGGAAGACGGTGACCTCGCCAAGTTCCTGAAGGTGAAGTCAGACCTGAACCAGGAAATAGAAACTTCTAAGTTCCGCAGCACGACTCCGTTTGCAGCTCTCTTGGGAGGGCTGACGAAAGCCAAGTGCTTGTCTTCCCCTTCCGGCACGGCCGCGATCAGGAGGGCCGTGTCGGAGTTCGGGGCTCGCTGGACGGTTACCACCTTCGGGCAGCTGCTGAAAGGCCTCATCGAGCTCCGCGCCGTGGCCCAGGGTCGGGAGCTGGTCGACTTCGCCGTCGCCACCGGGGCGCCCTGGGGCCAGGACGGTCATGTGGTCTTTCGTGGCGACTATGCGTTCCAGGCCATGGTGCCTCTCCTCATGGAAGCCGAACTTCTGGACGAGCCAGCTTCCATGGAACTTCTCGAAAGGTCTGTGACAGAGTGTGAGCAGAAGAATTTCATGGGAGTCTTGTTGGAGGGCGGCGGGACCGTCTTCTCCGAACTGGTGTCTGATCTTGTCTCCTATGGCATCTTGGGAACGCCGAAAGGGGATGCCCTGATCAATCTCGCGATGGAGCATGGCGCCGACTGGGCCTGCCTGGATGGGTGGAACCAAACACCTTTCGAGGACATCACCCGTTTGCCTTTGAAGAGCAACCCGACGTTCAACAAGAGGCGAAAGACCACCATCTCGCCGGAGGCTGCACTTGCCTACGCCCGTAAAGTACTGCAGAATCATCCGCGGCCCGGTCTCCTCTGGAACGGTTCGAAGAATCGGACGGAGCACGGCGACCAAGAGTCTCAGGGAGCTTTTCAGCCCCTGCTCCGCACTTTGGCCGAAGAGAAACGCATCGGCCAGCCGATCTCTCGCGAGTTCTTGAAGATGGCAGAGGAGACGGGAGCTAGGTGGGATGCTATCCACTGGAAACTCGGCGCGTCGGGCAAGCCCCCCATAGAGCTTTGATTTTCGACTTCCTCCTGTAGTAATAATCAGAAAATCATGCAGCCCTCCCCTAGGTTCAGCTGAGCGGAGGAATTTCACGGCTCCGTGGGGCGGCCTCAGTACTTTCCACTCCTTTGTCCAGCACCTCGCACAGGCGGGTGCCTTACAGCACCCCGACGGGGTCGACATGGTGGCCCGTGCTTTGGAGAATGGAGCCGACTTTCGGATGAATAATCCGAAGGCTTTGGGGCCGAGGCACATTGCCGTGGATATTCCGGGATTGGTCTGGGGCCACCGGAGAGAGACTGTGCGCCTGCTGGGCTTGCTTGCCTCTGGAAGGGCCTTGCCCTGTGAGCCGGCGGACAGGGAGGGAGATTTGGTGGCTTCCTTCGTTGCACTGGCCCAGTTCGTGCAGGCGGCTCAGCATGCCTCCGCTTTGCAGGTTCGGCATCCCATCGTAGAGTCAATACTGGGCTTTCTTCCTCGTGTCCCGCAAGTGCTAGGGTACGAGTTCACGGACTTCCGCAAGGTGGCACATCATCCGCAGCCTCTCCAGGGATCGTAAAAACGGTCATGATGGGAAGAGCTGCGATTTTCCGACTCCCCTCTCCGTAGCCCTCTTTGTCCGCACAACTCAAGAGACAAGTGCCCGGCCCGCCGAAGGCAGCCAGCAGCCCACAGCCACGGCCCAAACCCTGGCCCTGGACCCACCGAAGAAAGCTTACAACCAAGAAACCTCGAAGCCGCCTGAACCATGAAGCACACCTATAGTCTCCATTGTAGGTCCCGCTTTGGTTTAACCATATATATATATATATATATGCTAACCCCCCCAAAAAAACTACCACGAGGTGCCGCGATAGCTCCACCAACCCTCCCAGGT